AATCAATTTATAATTCACAGTTCACTATTACCTCCAGCTGAAACTCAAGACTCTTGCTGGCCAACATACTCTGGACGACATTGGTCCTTGAAAAGAAGTAATTATATTACCATCATTGGTACATCCTGATGATGCTGTAAATTTAAAATGTATTATTTTACTACCTGTCAAGAGAATCAATACAGTTTGTTCTAAAAATGCCTTTTTGTTCTGAGTTGATAGCCCTGTCTTTATCCATGCTAAAATATCTACAATATCATAAAACACGTTATGAGAAACAAAGAGATTCAAGAGACAAAGCTTCATTTCTGATCACAATTAATATTTACAATAAGTCTGGCAAAGAAAATGCTCCAAATGCCAGGATTCTTTCCATGCATGCATACACTTTCTACTAGACATTCTACTTAAATACTAAAAATTGCCAAACCATGACAAGACAATAAAAGCATGCTAAAATAATATGTCTGAATACTACTAGATTTCTCTTGCAATGGACAAGGAGCACAGCGTATTGGAATGGAGAGAGAAATGTATTCCTATTTGAAAGAGAGGACTCAGGCTTAGAATACTAATGAGTTGTATATAACATGTGTCAAGGGATTGTGTAATCAGTGGGGACCATTAAGCTCTGATTGACTTTTGAACTTTAAAATTTTTTATGGTTGTATTACAGAATGATTTACTTTTGTATGACAGATCTAGCCTACAATCAGTGTAAATTCTATCATGATTGTAGATGGTGCTTGCTTGTGATTAAAGTGGAGATTTTGAGCCTGGACCTGTATTGGCAGATATATGTTGTGGTTGTAGTTTATGAACTCGAGGGAACAGTAGGATTAATAATTTTTTCTCAAACCATGCACCATCATGCATTGAATCACTTGTACTGATGAAATGATGGTAYGAACAGCAGTGAATAAATGTGTAAGGAATGATGATTGGTTGATTCATCATTTATTCATAATTGCTTAGATTATTTTCAAAAACTCTTACATAATTAATGAGCTATTAGGCCAATAGAATGAGCCTATTTGGTCACATGCATGGACCTTTATATCTGATAAAACACTCCTTATTAGTATTCTTTATATAAAGAATACTAATAAGGGTGACCTTTATCAGATATAAACGTCCATGACCCTAGCAAAGGTCTCAGGTTTGATACCTGATCATTGACCAATGCAGGATGTCAGCCGATTGCAGTAAACAGCGAATTACTAATTATATCAACCTATGGGTAACACATTTTTAAATTATAAAACTCATTAATATTCATAAGGCAAAACACAATAGAAATCATAGCCCATGAAGAGAGTTGTATATTACATACAGATTTCTTGTTCATTTCCATAAACTTTAACTCTGATTTTCTCAGTCAGATTGATTTTTTTTTCAAAAGTTTCTTTAAAACCTGAGCTGGTTTACCTCAACGTTTCATAAGTAATATACAATATTTGCGGGCGATCTGTATGAGGTTTAAAACAGCTCGCTTTCAGCTCACTGTTTTAAATCCTCATACAGATCGCCCGCTCATATTGTATATATTACATAAAATGTAGACAAAATCTGTTTTGAAATAAAGTTTCTTTTGACGTATTAAAAGATCTTGTCCAATCATTTAAGCACTCAAAACAATAGCCAAAAGATGCTTCCAATTTGCTATGTTCCCCACATTGAATTGCTACTAATATTGAAGCTAAAAAAAGCTATCATGAAGTCACAATCTTATCAGATATTATTAATAAAATATTAAAAATGTGCTAACTTGTGAAATTATGTTAGATGTTTGAACCAATGAGATGGATGGATTATACACACAATTAGCACCTTCTTGCATTCCATTCATTGCCATTTGCTTCCCATTTGCTTCCCTAAAGTCTCCTTACTAGGACCATTACTTAAACCCTCGATCTTGAAGGTTATAAGAAGAGGCACACCATAAACACCATAAACAAGGATTTGTATATTTAATTCTCTACAACTTCTTAGTACCAGTTGACTCTCTTTGAATGACCACTCTCTTAAGCAACCACTTTTTCCTGATCCCAAGGTGGTCGCTTATGAGAGTTGACTTTTTTAGTACATAGCTTCAAGACATTCTGAAAATACCTATTTCCGATAGCTCTTCCATATGACTCCCTAATATCGTAAATTTTATAATGTATAAAATTTATTGTAGCCATGCCCTTATAATCATATGAAAGTGGTGAATATGAATAATGTATGAAATAAWAAWAAAAGGATAGTGGGAATGGTTTWGAGCAGCAACAGATTTGTRCACAGTTTGATTTATTAGAATATATGACAAAATACAAAATTAATAACAATTTACTAATCATACCCAAATTTCTTGAGATCACTATTTTGTCTGTCTATAAGGATATTCAGTCGATCCCATCTCATCTTGCTGCATTCTTTGTGAAAGTCAAACGCATCATACCTGGAAAAAATAATAAGGCAGTCACATATTGCAGTCTTAAAAGTTCATAACAATCATTTTACTAAAATCTAATATATCTCCATTACGTTCCCACCAGCCAAATAGCTGCTGTGAAAGGAGCTTACTCCATTTCCACAAGTGCTCAATACAAAACAATACCTTAACTTATCTTCTTTATATCCAGAGTTCCGTAAAATAGTATAGAAATTGTCACCTAAAATCTTTTCTGCACCTTTTTGATCAATCTGAAGACAAAAAGATGACAAATGACTTAAAAACATATGATTACCAGTGTAGTACAATAATATCGCCGGCAAGAGTGCTAACATTTATAATTTTTCAAAATTGCTTTCTTTAGTTTGAAAGAAC